TTTCCTCAACCAGATTGCTCATCTTTTCTGGTGCTGGGTGTTACTGATTAGGCCTAAACCTAAAACCCCGGCCCCCTGATGCTGCCCTTCGCACAGGGCTGTGCCCAACCGAGCGCCTTTTGGAACGGCGGCGACGACCACCTACTCCCCAGCCTCCTGTTCTCCAGCTACCTTTAAGGAGGATTTTCCTGTACTTCTTCCTTCACCCTTGGCGCATTCTATTCCTCTATTTTTTAAAACTGGGAAGAGACTTCAAAAGCTTTAAGGAGAAAATTCGTTTCATAGAATCACAGTTGCACAAATCAAATCTGTGCAACTTTCTTGAAAAAGTGTCTGTTGCTTACTTCTCGCAGGGCTGTGCTAATTACTTTTACACCATAAACTGAACCTACTGTTTCTGCACAGCCAACAGCACAACAAACTGCATTTTCTAGAAACCATGAAAATAACATCTCTTGTATCATCCGGTTTAAGCCTTTTCCTTACTATTACCCACAACCAGAATTTAAAGGCTTGGCTGGCCCACAATTTCACAGAAAGAGAGAGGATGAAGCATGACATTGTGTAAGTTAGGATTCCAAGGGCATGAAGATTGACGCCCAATGCCGCAGCATTCGCGTTCAACTGATTATACTCAACGGAAGAAGTGTCTTCCCAACCACTGCTGCTGTGACCCTACGGCAAACAGATATATAGACTCACACAGGTGTTTTCCAAAACATATTTTTAATGTATTCTGCATTTGGAGCCTAAAGAGAGTAAGAGCAGAGAAATACGCTTGTTATTCCTTTTTTACATTACTATTAAAACTCAATTACTTCACGTAAAAAAGAAACCACATTTCCATACACGGAGATAGCCCTGCATAGGAAGTCTTGGTGACGCAACGAGACACAAACACAACGTTAGCTAACACCAAACCAGGAGCTTTCCCTCCTGCCCCCCGTGAGGGGGTCAAGAGACGGGGAGCCGCCCGGTGCGTCTCCCACCAGTGTGCCCCAAATCACTCGGAGGCATTAACTAGCAGCCGACTTCACTGTAGTCACAGAAGTTAGTGTTCGGTCTACGTACTCGCATCTGTCAACATTTCAGAGCTTCACAGGCCCCCCACGCCGCGTTTCAGAGCACGAGGAAACAGGTTCAGGAGCAGCCACAGCCTGCCACGATCACCTTGCAGTTGATAGAAGACTGAGGAGAGGCACATTTTTTCCTCGTAAGATTTTTATCTTTTTTATAAATCCTCCTGTAAGGATTTTGCTATAGCGTTCTCTTAGGGTTTTTTTTCTTAGTGTTTTGTACAAACCAGAAAGAGGTTAATTTTAACCAGCGGCAAAACAGTCGTTAAGAGAGCTCTTTGGGGACTTGGGAAATAGACAGAACGACTTCCTATCCAGGGACTGCTGTAAGGGTGTATGGAAAGCTAACCACACCGTTGCCTTGCATTTTGGAAAGTGTCTTTACGCTGCACTTAACAAACAGAACAGAGACATCACAGACAGCTAGAATCTCGTTACCAGCCTAAGTGATACAAAAATAGTAATACAACTTTAGTAAGTAAAGCATTTCGGTTTTTTAATGCGAATACTCTTCATCTTCCCGGTTGAAGTATTTCAGCTGAAACGCAAGATGATTAGAAGAAAAACTGCTTTGAGCATTTATCCCCTACCCCAGAAAATGTAAGTTCAGAGGTCTCAACAAGCGAGGAGGTATCAGTGTCTTTGTCTCTAGGGAGCCATACCTCCAAATTGTTAAATCCACTTTAAAACCTGTTTCACCCCTGCAGGGCACACATTTTTTTTCCGCAGTGTTCTCAACGTTCTTCTGCGTTGGTAGCTCAGAAGCAGCACATTTCGTTTAAAAAAAAAAAAAAAGCCCAAATAGGAAGATAAGAGAACAGGAAAAGCACGAGTTAAAAATATGACAAAAAAAAGTATTATTTGTTCTGAATGCTCTTTAGTTCCTTCCCCTTACCACAGATTGAGTCCAGCTAGCAACATTGCTGAATTTAGCATCAGCATGCTTCACTAGAACAAACTTACTCCCATTCTCTGAATGAGTAACGAGAGGAAGAATCAAGAATAAATATTCTGGTCCAGAAAGTCCGTATCTACACGGCAGCGGAGGCAAAACTGGTTTCAGTCGGGGCCGAGGGGACGAAACTGCTACTCCGCACTTGCACCTCAGACAGGGCCTGCTCCCCCCCGCTGCCCCTCCTCCCAGCCAGCCAACCCTGAACCAATCCCCAACACGTTCCCCAGCGCGGGCTCTGCGCCGGTTTGTTTTAACACGAAGAAAAAATTCAGCGGGGCGATGTAAACATAGGCGGCCAAATGGAAAGTGGTATGAAACGCATGACGTCACCCGCCTGGACACCTCAGTCCGAGTCCAGCAGACCCCCTCACCCCCGCACAACGCCAGATCCCGCAGAGGGGGGAGAGTTTTTAAGGACTGACGCCCGTTGGCAGATGCTCAGACAGAACCGCATGCAATGAATCCGTACGTCCTCCTGGACGGACTTGTTTTTTAAAAGAGCAGCTAACAGAATCAGCCTTCCTTGTAGCAATTTTCGCTAGATTAACATATATTTAATAGTGATATGCTTCCTCTTCTGGGAATGTTTTCCATTCAAAAATTTGCTAACAATTAACAAGTTTCAGGTTATATTTCTGGACTAATAATGTCTAACTAATTTTAAACAGGATATTTGACAGTTATAAAGACGTAAATTTAAGCTAGAAACACTAAAGAGCAGTACAGATTCCAGGATATAAAACTCTAAAAATCCTTTTCTCTGTGACCTATAGAAAAATAATTATTTTTATGACTTGAAGCATAAGGTAGATAATTTCTAGCATGATGTGGTTTGTTGATTATCCCCACTTAGAGTAGTAGAAAAGCATTAAAAAAAATAATTCAGAAATCAAACTACATGTTCTCACAAAAGACAGCGTGGATGACGTGTTTTAATCATCACAAAACAGAGAAATTGAGCCAATTGAATAGAAACTTACTCCTGTGTATTTTCAAGAGAAACTAACAGGGTTTTCTCATTCTCAGTTTCACGCAATGTGGACGTGGCATGGGACAAACAGGTGAAAGTTGCTTCAAAATACAGTGAAAACTGGCAACACACAAACAGCATTGCTTTCAACATACATTTGTTTAAAAACATCCCCATATTTTTCACAAGAATGGCTAAGCTAGTAGGCACCATGCTGTACATTAACAGGAACTCCAAAACAGCTCAAAAGCAAGGAAGAACTATTCTTATATGCTCCCAAGACATATTCTTCCTCAACTTAATTCACAAACAATAAGAATGTTACATCAACTCGAAAAGTGTAAATGAAATATTAACAAAGACCCTCCTAAGACAACTTTACCTTTATCTAATTAATTTGGCTTCTAAATATCTCTATCACTGACAACGGCCTAAATCAACTTGTTGAGTTTCTGGAGCAAGAACTCCGTAGGTAGACCTACTGCCCACCACCGAAATCAAACATCAAGTCAAAAATACCCAATATGCTAGACCAATAAACTCGCAAGTAAACTGTATTCTACCCAAGTGAATCTCACTTTAAGACATTTTCAGGGCTAATGTGCCATAATAAATTCTACTATTAATCAACAGTAAAGTGCTGAATTATATTAATTACCTGAATCGCACTCACATTTATGATCTTCATTTATAGATTTCTTATCAAGTCAAAAGAGCCCTTTCTGTTGTAAAAGCTAAGCTGTTGTGCAAATATTATAAAAATAGGTACTTTAATTAGGAGCTATATACACAACAGAACTTTCGCTTTTTGTTAACTACAGCTGACATAGCAGAGATGAAAACTCCATGCAAATATTTAGAAAGATACTTAAAATGAAGAAAAAAGGACACTGCTATAGAACTTCCAATACTCTGGCATACAGCCACTTACTATGTTATATTAGGTGATGTCTAGATCTGAACTGATAAGCATCATGCCACCAACATGCTTTAGTTTCTTTTGCAGCTAATGTTGATCTGTAAATTTTAAGCTACAGCATACATTTGATCTATTTCTCCTTAAAGTGTATCATTAAGTTGGAGGTTAAACTCGGAGCAAACTTCACATCTAGCCACATAACCAGCACAAGCAAGACGTTAGTGCAAAGGGGGAAGGCGTCAGTTGTACATAACGAGGGCCCTTCCCCTAACTGCATGATGTAATAAAACGATTTTCAGATTTAAAGTTCAAGTGGATAACTATCAGAAAAAGCAAGATTTTCTTCTCCAAAATTTAGGACAGATTTCCAGAGGATCAAAACGAAAGCAACTTCAGTTACAGGTGTCAAAAAAGTCAAACCCAAATTTGGAGAGCTCATAAGTAACTCCAAAATTCATCATGCTATGAAGACAGCATTCTCAAAAGAGCTCCAAACAAACTGCAAAACAAAATTGGCATTTAAGTTGAAATTGGCCAAGTGCTGCATAGAAATATGCTCACACACAACAGTCATGTTTAAGCCAGTGCATAGAGAAGATAAAAGCACTTATGGTAGTTGCAAATGTTAACAAGTCCATACAACTTGCACAGTTTAGCAATGAGTCCATAGAAAAAGAACAGAGTAAGAGCAGAAATGCTCAAGCAAAACCAAAACCAGATGACCTTCCAACTGTATAAAATCCACGTAACAGTTATAGTATAAAGACATCAGTGGAAATCACTCAACTCAGTCCCAAACACCCAACAGGCAAATAAATCCAGAACGTACAAGCCTTTGGCAGACAATTTTAAGAGTCTAAATATGGCATTACATTTCTAAATCATCCACAAAATATATTATATGGCATATTCATATTAAATACCGGGTAACCAACGCTGCAGATAGGATGCTAAAAACGCTTTAGCCAATGAGAGCAAGACGGAGCAAGCGAAGGGAACGCTGGTGTATCACAACAGTGCTCAAGGAAAATACCATCACCAAGTCGTGCTTCAGAAACAGTACTCTGGGACTCCACGCTATCATCTATGGAGCAAAACAAAGTTCTCCAGTTTCTCGGGGATGTGCCCTGCGTAGTATATGTTATGATTCACAATTACACGAGCAGCAAGACACTGCAACGTCGTATGATTTATGGGCTGGATTAAATTTTTTGCTATTTCCTTCTCATCCAGCAGATCACTAGCAGTTTGTTTACGTGAGTTTGTGGCATCAAAGTGTGAACCTGACTTGATAAGAAGATTCATGATGTCTGGATGGTTGTTCAGTGCAGCAATGTGTAATGGACTGTTGTTATCAGAGTCTCTGACATTTACATCAGCACCACATTCCACCAGGATAGCAGTAACTTGGAGAGAGGGGAATTTACAGACTGGGTAGCGACCCACACATGTAGTATTATTGTCAACAGCAAGGTGAAGTGGACTGAAGTTATTCTTCCCCCTAGGCTGAAGCTTAAGAAACTTGTAAATAGTCTGTTTCTTAAAATGCTCCTGTTCTGAGCTGCAAGGTACTTTCTCCAGCAAGCAAATTAAATGCAAAATAATGGAAAGGGCTTTGTTCAGCTGCATTGGATCAGGAGGACACTGGGTTTGTTTCATGGCCCGTTCTATTTCAAGAACGCTTTTGCACAGTATACCCATGAGATCGTCAAACGTGACGGTAGTGCCTAGCAGGCCTTTTGCCCGATCCTGCAGCATGAAGGAGAAAAGTTCAGCAAACGACAGTAAGCTGCTGGCTGTCATAGGGCTCAGCGGATCAAGATTGCTCTGCTGCATGTCCAAAGCGTACTTCCATAAGTTGATGCAACGCTTGAAGTTTCCAGAGTCTGCATAGACAGCACCTCTGTATCTAATATAGTAGGAAGTATCTGGGTGAGAAGGGCCAAGAATACGTTCTCTAATTAACAGTGCCTGCATTCTCATTTCATCAGGGTCTGCAATCAGATTTTCTAGCTCTTCAGATTGCTCTGCTGCATGTCCAAAGCGTACTTCCATAAGTTGATGCAACGCTTGAAGTTTCCAGAGTCTGCATAGACAGCACCTCTGTATCTAATATAGTAGGAAGTATCTGGGTGAGAAGGGCCAAGAATACGTTCTCTAATTAACAGTGCCTGCATTCTCATTTCATCAGGGTCTGCAATCAGATTTTCTAGCTCTTCTCTTCAAGGCCATAATTAGTGTTTGTGGCACAGGTTTGCTCAGGATATTAGTCCTATCACTGTATCTCATTTCCATAGCTCGCTTCCAGTATTTCAAAGCACCAAGCAGATCTCTCTTTTTGTCCACAAATGTTGCTCCTAGAAGTTCCAGAGCGTTTATGCGCTCGGCCTTACTGGTCTGTACATGCTGGGTCAGAAAGTCCACGATATTTGTGTGGCCTGTCACGCTCGCTGACAGAAGGGGAGTCATCCCGTAACCGTCCTTCTCCATTTTAGCACAGTATTTCAGAAGCATTTTCATGATCTCCAAACTTCCAGATTCTGCACAGTCGTGTAACGCGGTGTTCCCTGAAAGAAACACAATTACACAAACTGTAATCAAATTACAGTCCAAGCCCCACCACACTCATACTTGCAAAAAAAGGTTGAAAAAACAGTTTAAAACACCCAAATATTAACAGTTTAAAAACAGATGTTTTGACATCTATGGACTATGAAAGGCTTAGAAAACAACTCCAAAAGTTCAAGATCTGGTTAAATATCAAGGCTGCCAGGCAGTTATACAAATCAAAGTGCCTGATATTATTGCCTGAAAGAATTAAACAGGTTAAGGATATTTTTTCTCACTTAAAAAAAAACCCACACACCAAAAACACACACACACACAAAACCACACCAGAATTAAAACCAGAATTCTCCACTACATAAAAGCACAGTACCAGGCAAGCCCACTGTGTCAAAAATCAAGCAAGCAGGGCAGAAAACCAGCTCTCTACAGTTTCCTGAGGAGGTCAAGTACAGAGAGAGATGTGCTGATCTCTTCTCCCGGGGATCCAGTAACAGGACATGTGGGAATGGTTCAAAGCAGCACCAGGGAAGGTTTAGACTTGAGGTGAGGACACATTACTGAGAGGGTGGTCAAACACTTCCAAGAGAGGTGGTCGATGCCCCAGACCTGTCACTGGTCAATGCCCTCCATAACATGTTTAATTTTTGGTCAGCCCTGAACTGGTCAGGCAGTTGCACTAGATGACCACTCTAGGTCCCTTCCAACTGAAATATTGTATATGGACCGCTCGATGGATGAAGAATTGGCTGGATGGCTGCACTC